GGTCACTGGCTCAGATTATTTCTAATCTGAATACATACTAGGACTACAAAGCCAGTTTAGGCAACCAGCTGCATCCTATAGTGCAAACGTTGTTTCATTCATATTTTCCCATATTCGAAGACTATAATGCCCCCATGCACACAAGTAATCAGATTCAGATCTAAACATCACTGAACTTCATGGGACGTTTAAGAACACAGAGAGCAAAATAATTTTCCGCCTCCTTCGCCTCTCAAAGAACTGGGAGCTTCCTTGAAGAATGGTCCAATATCCTAATAGAAACAGTTCAAAACTTGTATAACAGTACCCCAAGGAGGACCGAAGCTGTGCTGAAGACAAAGGGCAACTCCTTATTAGCTAATAAATATTAATATATTGCATGGTATTTCCATGATTTTCTCCACCCCTGTTCAAAGTATTTTTCCAATTGGTCAGATTTCCAGCACGGACTTGGGTTTCACAGTGAACTGATTATAGGAGTGAAATAAAAGCCTTAACAGCAGCTAAAAGATGTTAGATGTTACATTTCACCTTGCCATTTGAAGTGTTCTTGTCATGTCAGAAACACCACAAGAACATCTTTCTTCTACTTTGTAAAAATGCTCTTTGGACATTTGTACTGTCCAACTGATTCTGAAATACTGATCTATTGTTATACCTGGACAGAACCTGCTTACCTGTCTGTTTTAGAAAAAGGAGCTCTCCTACCATTCAGCTTCCTGTCCTCTTCTAGCATGTCCTGCTCTATTCATCACTTGTATACTCCAGTCACTGTTGAATACTTACTCTTTATTATGAGCATCTTAAAGACTATGGTGTTAATTAATACAAGTGAATTATTAGGAACACTCTTTGTTCATCTGTGTCTTCCCCCAAGCTTGCTTGCAACCTAGCCCAAGGACAGCAAGGACAATATCGCCTGAACAATAAGATGTGTCCGAAATCTCTTGGGTAAGGCAATCGAGATGGGAAGAGAACATTGCTAAACTCTGCTGAAATTATGCTTCCCCCTCAGTCACAACAGTATTTTTTTATATACTTGTATGCATTAATGGGTGGGGTTTTTCCCTCTTTCTCCATTACAAAATACAAAATCTTACTGTATAACATTTATGCTCAATGGGAAACATTGACATCTGAGTAACATGTTTTTTTAACTACTGTACAGTAGCAACAAATAATGGACACCCAGATAGTATATCATGTATTAGAGATTACATTTTAATCTATTAGAGATATGCATTTAGGGTAATTGAACTGAAAACTTGTTAACAAAAAACAAAGAGCACAGATAAAGGGTGAATGCTCCAGTTGGGAAGATATAATTAATAGAATGCCATAGGGATCTGTATTACAGCATCTAGATGGTGGTTTAGTTTGTAAATTAATCAGGTTTGCACATAAGACCGAAATGTGAGATTTAGCAAACACTGCTGATGCAGCAAAAGAAATGTAAAAGGATTCAGATAAAATTAAAAACAAGGCAAACAGCACACAATTCAGAATATTACATGCAAGTAGCAAAAACATACACTAATAAAACGTCATTTAGAATATACAGTTTTGGTCAATTTGGTACAAAAAAAACTGATGCTCTGGAATAAGTCCAGAAAAGAGCAACCAGATACATTCCCATGTTCAAATTGACAGATTGAAAGGAACTGAAGTCGTGAACAGAGAAAACTATGAGGGGACCTGATTAAAGTATTCAGACCTCTCAAATGAGTTATATGGACTGAATGGCCTTATCTGACTTGTATCTGTTCTTCTATCGTAGCCTATTCCTTGTATGGTTATGTATATTTTCCCAGTGGCAGAGGAGCGTTCCTTTATAATTTCACTCTTGATTTAGCTTAATTGATCAATGAAAACTCAAACCCAAAACTGCAAGGTTTGCCTTTTTTTGTGTTAATATGTGCTCACAGTTTGACTTTACAAACGTTTCTCTCCACAGCGATAATCTCTAAGCTGCCTAGAGCTGCAATCCAATTACTAGAAGGCCGGGGCATTTATCAGACACTGAAAAATGAAACGCAGAGAGAACAAATCTAACTCGATTTAAACAGAGCGGAAAATCCAGGGGAGGTCACACAGTATGGAGACTCAGTTTCCTAGTCTATTCTTTCAATGATCTCCACAGAACCTTTCCGTAGCTATCATTTCACCTGTGTGTCCTGCGGAATGAATCTTATATTGAGCAAAGGTCAGAGATTCATCAAAGCTTAAGTGTATGTGTTTTTAAAGCATATAGACACTTTTTTTTGATTGTGCAGTACAGTATGTGCAGTAAGATAAATATTTCATAAGAACTAAACACAATCCAGAACTACTACATGTTGGGAGCATTTGGATTTCAACACTTAGTCAATTACTTTAATTGATTACTCGTAGTCAGTAGCTGTTTGCAAAGTGTATGAATTTGACATTCCTAACATCTCCTGCTCTAGTTCCTGAGATGAAGAGGGATACACGATCAATCCTCTACGTCCAAATGCTGTCACAGTGCCATTGTCACCGATATCTTCCTTCTGCTTGTCATTGACAAGGTAGACTCTAATTTTTGTTAATTCTGTAGCAATGTAAATTTCATAAAGGTTCCACCTTGATTTACTGTAGCTTTATAAGCTTTATGATTGTATAAAACGTGGGAGGACTCAATATATTCAAGGTGATGAGGAGTTTAAAAAAATCCCGAAACACTGACTGTGATTGGGAAATTGGAAAAACAATTAAGAAAGAGCAGGAAAATTCCCTTGAATTAGTTCAATATCAAAATTTAATTCCAAACTCTCATGACCTTGAAGATTTATTTTGGTTTGGCATGCACTCATCTTAAACTTAAAAAAATGTTTTAAAATGCAACTGGAAAATAATTTAGTAGTTCTGTCATTTGCTTAACCAAAGACAATCTGTTTAATCCCACTGGAAGATTTTAAAGGGATTATAATCATGTACTTAAAAGCCTCAAAGGCACCGACAAAGTTGACTCAATTAATTTTTTTCCCCAAAATCAACAGGGAAACACAAACCAGAGATCACAAATGAAAACTCATTTTCATGGGGGAAATTATTTAAAAGGTTGTGGGGCTCTGGACAAGCCACCCAGCCATATTATTGAAGCTGATAACACAATTGAAAGGAATTTCAAATTCTGTAGTGCCAGTTATAAGATGGGGAATTTGAAGTTCATGAAGTTCTGACTGAAGCCTCTGCTTTGACATTTGAACTTTTTCTCACAGTTTCCCTGAAATCCATGGAATACTGGCTTGGCCGCCCATGTCATCAGGTTCTGAATCTATGACATTTCTAGATGTAAGCACATGTGAGCATATCTGAAGAAGGAGTACTGCAGGCTAACACTGCATAAATAAGGGTTTAAAAGCAACAACAGAGCTTCGCCTCACTTGCTTCAGAGCGTGTTGAGGAATTTGAACATCAGATTTAACTTTTGAATCTTGCTATGCATTTCCCGGTACCTATAGATAATTTATATACTGGTATGTGTTAGTTGAGATTATTATGAGGATTGCAAAAGCCATATGAATATAAAATCACTGTTTTCCACACTTTGCCACATTTGCACCAACATTACATAATTATTTTCATTGCAAACATCAGTACGTGATCCTTTGAAAAACCCATTAACCCTTAAGTCCCTCAGAAGAAAAGTGTGCTTAGGAGGATAACCAGACATGAACAGAGTAGGAAATTGTTTTGACGTTTGTTGAAATCTTACAGGTGTAAGTCTATACAGTCCAGCTTTGAATGAGGCGATCCCCTTCACAGCTCCCACGAGAGGATAAAATTGTGCCATTTTACGAGAGTAGCAGGGAAGAGTAAAGTACATTTGCAGAGCAAGAAAAAGGAAATGGAGGTATTAAGTGACTGCTGGAATCATCGTTGTTGCTTTTTGGACTGAATTAGGTAGAACAAAAGCACAGGGTCTTCAAGAAGGCAGAATTCTTTTTCTTTTGCATGTCAATCTAACATGCAATTTTGTTTGAAAACTTTTGATGCAAGCATCATCCATCTCAAATCTTGTGTCAGCCTTGTTCTGCCATTCCGCACTGTTGCAATCTGCAGTTCTTTCTTATTTCCGTTTGGAATTGCGGATATTTTATTGATATGAGCCGAGTGAAAAAAACTCAGTGCATTTACTGTGCCAATGGCACCATCTCCACACTCCTGAGAGTGAGCAGACGACCGTGAGAAAATAAACACAGGAATCGGTACTTTCTTGAACATTCTACTTTGGTAATTGCATTTGAGAAAAGTTTTCTGCTTTGTGTTCGTACCATCCAGTCAACAGTCACAGAATTTCTTTTCCCATCCTTAGGTAAGTAGTGATGTATTAAAGCCAAGTAAAAAAAAGACTCCACAATAATGTAGAACCAGAAACAACAGGAATGTAAGAGAGATTATTAAAGTGACAAAGAGCAAGATAGGAAAGGAGAGAAAGTGAGCCTCTGGTTTATTGTATCTAATATGCTCCCATACACAGTACGGGCGCAGGCACACACAGAGATATAATTATATCCTCACTCTGTGCCGTCTCCCTGCATTAACATCTCCTTTATTTCACCGGCTGCGACAGAGACAAATGAGAGAGTTTTTCCAGCGAATCATTCTCATCCGTTACTGCCAGTTCCATGCAATAGATCATCTGAGTTAAGGCGGCAATAGATCACTGGGTAAAAGAGACTCCATTGCATAGCCCAGCAGAGCATGGTTACAGATCAGTGGTCGCCTAATGCACATGTGGATAAGAGTCAAATCCCGTTAGCTGCATTTCCAGGCCGATTAAGCCAGAATAAATGGCAGTCCCCATCTCACTGGCCACTGGGGTGTCTCCGTCTCTGGTTGTGGAGGTGTTTAGGGGGTGGTTTAATTTTTATCAGGACTTTTTTTTACGCTTTTAATTTCACCAGGCAAGTGAGTTGAGAACGAACTCTCGTTTACGATGCTGACCTGGGGATCTATTTAGACAGCAGGGCACTTACTGGGACGACCTGAGTGAAGCACCTCGCTCAAGAGTACAGCAAGCGGGGTTTGAGCCCACAACCCGCAGGTCTTCAGCTGCCACAGGTCTGAGCTGTGGATGAAAAGTCAGGTGAAAGTGTGAAAAAAAAAACAATGTCTGAAATAAAAGTATCAGCCCGAGAGACAGTGTTGTCAGCTCCATCAATTTGAATCTATTGTCTGCTGTTTTGTTATTGTCATTCTGTTTTGAAAACCCAGTAGATTGTATTGGCTCTTTCCCCAAACACTAACATCATAGGAAATCAAGGAAAAGGACATTTTGCCCTTTCACGTTTTTAACTGCAAATTCAGCTTTGGCACCGACTACTCTTAGCTATCAGACTATCAGTGAAAAGAAACAACGGATATCTCTTAATAAGAGACACAATAGGCACTTGAAATAATCATTTGGCACTGAACGAAATATTTTTTTTTTTAATATGAAAAGACATTTACAAGTATAGTCCGGGTCACCAATGCATCATACTGAATAATCATGTAAATGTAAAGCGATCGACTGAAGCACGTCGTGTGCTACGGACTAACTCCTGTCACTACAAGACATGGGGTAGGGTTGGTGTACAGCATTAGTACAATCTCCATCCTGATAAAACATATAGATAATATATTCACTGTAAGGTAAAAGAACATATTGTTAATTGGAATTTCGTCAATAATAAAACACTTCATCTGAATCCTGCAACGCGTTTATTTTATGTTTTACAAGCCACGGCCAAACAGACACCTCCAAACCATAATGGTTAGCTCAGTACAGCGGCATTAACTGTGAATAAATTAGCAATGTCACAAACAGTTGATGTTTCAATTAATTCTGTTCAGCACAGATGTTGCTTTGTGTTGTGGAAAAAAAAAACAGAAAATTTCAAATCACGTTTCGCAGATGAGGATTGCAAGTACACAGCGCGTCCGATACAGGCTAAAATCTTGGAGTTAACTCGTGATGTTCATTGGTAAAGGAGGGGGGGGGCATACATTGCTGTCTCTTATTAACATCTTCGTGTACTTAAACAGATATTTCCACCGAAAGAAAAAAAATACAACAGGAATATGATAGAGCGATTTCAGCCAAGTGTAACGAAAACCCATTGTTTACTCGAAATGGAAGCTACTTTAAACTTACAGTATAAACCCTTCAGGTACCTGCATGTTAATTGCCACGATTGTAAAAAAACACCTTTCAGCTGCACAGGATTTATAGCCAAAACCTTGTGTTTCTTTCCCTTTCCCTTCCTAACCTTTTTTTTTTTGTTCCTTTGCCTCGCCCACGTTGACGCATCTCCACACTCGAACCAATTAAACACGATGAATTCTCTGAAAAGAGCAGTACTATTTTTTTAAATATTTAAAAACATTTATTTTAAAATTTAATTTATAATAATTGAACTGGCTAAAATCTACATTATGACTTTAACCACATACCACAATATTAGGTCACCAAAGAATAAATCAGTTGGCTCTCAAGAGAAACCAGCGTTTTAATGTTTCAAGCTAAACTGATTTAAACAACATAATCCGCTCGCCATGTCCAGTTTTCCAGCTTTTCCAGCGGTGAATGGAGAACGCCAGGGACTGAAATTGATGCGACAGCGACGTGTTTAGTGAATTTAAAGGACACAGGCGGTTAGGGGCAAACGTGTTCATACTGTAGGTCTTGGTAATCCAGGAAGAATGTAGACTTTACCCTCAAACCCTCTGCACACCTACAGTATAACGCTACCAGATAATAAAAGGGATACATGCCAGGGACTCTTCTACATGTTGTGTTTCTTTTGGTACACAAGCCGGGCCGGCAATGACATAGTGCACTAAAATATCCAGTGCTGTGTTCATACTGTATGTGCTATTAATAAAATAAACAGAAAAAGATTAAAGAACGAAAGCAAATAGAACTTTGTATCGCAAATTATTAGGAGTACAGTATTTCCGGGTCTCCCTGCTGCTCTTAGGCATACAGAGCGTTGCTAAATAACCTCGAAATGGCAAAACTATTATTGTTGGTAAAACAGCTTTTTAGCATTTTTCACCTCCATTGAAAAAATGATACTTAATTATTAAAATATAGGTCTGTTCCGAAATATTGCTAGTTATAAGCTCTGTATTCATTTTGACACACTGCATCTGAATTAAACTGAAAGAGGTACTGTATGTGCTACACCATACACATATATATATATATTGGTACTGTAATATCAAAGTGGTGTTGTAAAGGCAACATCCCTTAGTTTACTTAAAAAAGGGAATGAGCAAAAAGGAATCCACCATTTAAGCAAAACTGCTTCTGCATATTCTGATCACTGTGATTTGCATATTTTATGATGACCTCTTTTCATGGCACTTTTATTGATCCTGATTTTTTAACTTGGAGCCTTGAGTATATACAGTACCTGTCTTCAGTAAGTGCAGGGATACCTGCAAATAATGCAAATAAATGTGACCTCCTGACGTCAGAAATGCTTACTCATTGCTCATCTGATAAGGGTTATAGAAATCCTTTCATCCAGCAGTAATCTCTACTGTCCTGAAAACTGTCTCGTCTCTTGACTATTCCAAACGTTCCTGTTCCCACCTCTTTCCATTTTGTGTCACCTGCACATTTCTTATGCTTTCAATACCAAAGTCAAGATCACTGATATGAATTAGATAGATTAGATAGATAAGATGGAGCAGTGTAGCTAATATAGGTTTATATAATAGACTATAATATATATAGACTCTTGGCTTATGTTCTTCATTTGGTAGCTTAGTAACTAAATTAATCTAAAAGTTCATCCAGTTTCGCAAAACACAGCCACTTAGTGCGGCTCTGAGCTTGTTCCAGATGTTCACACATATATAAAGAACAGTTTCCTATTTTTCATCCTAAATACATTAATTCTCCAGTTGTGATCCTGTGTCTTTGTTTCTCTTATAATGAAATATGCAATAATCCTTGGGCATATACTGTCTACATCCCTTGGTATCGTATATAATTGACACAAATCTCCTCTCAATCTCCTTTAACTGAAGATAATTAACCTTAACCTTTATATATATATAAGAATTCACCAAGACTAAGAATCAATTGTGTTGCTTGTTCTTCATTGACACTCTCTGTGTACTACATGTCCATTTGAACTATTATGTCCTTTTGGTGGTATGGTGACATACCATAACTGAACACAAAATGAACTTTTACTAATGCATTGTAAAACTTGAGTATAGCTTCCACCAATTAAAATGTCATACTTTTTGCTATACACCCAAGCATTCTATATCTTTTTAATGGTTTCACATCATTGTCTGAATGAGGATATACGAATCTACATAAACACCCAGATCCCTCTGATAATAACTTCCTGCAGCTATGAATCAGCCATGTGATATGTATTTTGTTTGTTCCTGCCACTGCTATGGAGCAGTTTTCGTTTAACAATGTTAAATCACATTTCGTCAAGTGTCTCAGTCTTTTTGCAATTTCCTTGCTGCTGTGTCTGTTCTTGCTACTTCGTCCATTTTTGTATGATCTGCAAATGTATCTAGTTTGCTAAATAACCAGTTCCAAATTGTTGATAAGCATTTTGGTTTCTTTTCTGCATTTCATTTAGTTGTTTTTTCACTAGACATTCAACAAGTTAAATCACCTCATGACCAGTGCCTACTAAAGAGGTGATTGAGTGCTTATATGACAGTCAAAGTCACTCAAGTGTATCACAATCAGTGGTGAATGATCAATTAGTCAAAATGATGCAAACATTGAATCAATATCCAAAATCCAATATGTTATTTGTATTCTTGAGATATCACCAATACATCCATAAAGAGTACCATAAGTTTCGTTTGGTGTTGGTTATATGATTTTGTTCGGTTTTATTACAAATATTTAATTTGATTAAATTGGTAAGTACTGTAAAAAATAAATCATTAGCTGCTAAAATCACAGGTTGTAGCATTCTCTATATCCCAGTTGTAAAACTACTTTATTTTGTTGCTGTTGCTGCTGTTGTTGTTTTGGTCTTTGGCCTCTATGAATTCATTTTTGTCTGAATTGTCACCACAGTTCAGTACACCTGGGGTATCTGCAAAAGCTGGCTCTTGCACATAAAAAACACAAAGTTGTTTGCAAGTAATTCACACTACATAATAACCAACCTACAAAACATAATTCTATAACCTCAGATATGTGGTTAGGATAAAAAACTGTATGATGAATTTACGTATTTAGAAAAGGTTGAAGTATCTATTTTAGTTTTTTTTCCCTTGGACTGTACAATTTTATTGTCCTGTTTCTAGGTCATATCTAGCTTTTGTGCCACTTCCTTTGTGGACACTAGCTAAACAAGCTAATAAATAACTAAGAGAATCAAAGCAGAGGATACAAAGAAGTGAGAAATCGACATGCAAAGCCCTGGGGTCTGAGCAGATGATGACAATATCTGCAGGAACTCTTTCAGATTACAAGGGTTAAAGTTCACCCCGGGAGCAAACAGGAAAGGGTTAGGGCTTTCAGGGGTGATGAAAAAACATATTTCTATGGTAATTTCAGTGGTGTTGGATTAGCAAAGTGTTTAAAAATAAAGTCCTTCTCACAGTAACTAGTGACACATGTAGCATGTTTTTAGCAATTTTACCTCACAGTTTTAGCCCTTTTCCATGTTTTTGCTTGCTAACATGTCATTTCATTTTTTTTTTGCTGATTTAATCTCCTTTCTGTCTTGTGAAATGTTAGACTAACCAGAAGAGGTTTATAACGTACTGCATAACACAAATAAAAAATCGTAGTTGTACTGCTTTCTGCAGTTAGGTTGCCTCAGATCTGTAAATAAGATGACGATTGAATACTCACGTGTGAGTCTTTGCTGGTTAGCTTCGTACTACTACTACTGAACCTTCATTAGACAAAGAGTGACAAGACAACATTTGTTAGGGCCAGCTTCCAGGTCACAGCTTTCAGATTTGGCTTACTAAAGACTGACTAGAGCACATCAAAACCAGGATAAAAAACCACTGGTGATTCATGAGCATTGTCAGCAGTGCGGTCAAACCCTTTATTGCGTATTCGGGATAGTGAGTAACCGGTTTGGATGAAGAGAATGACAACCCGTTGGTAACCAGTGGCTGAACTCTCGCGATCCCCCATTTGCACCGAGCACTGAGCAGAGGAGCTGCCTCAAAGAGCAAATACCACGGGGATACGAAGACGACACTCGCAAAAACCTTTATTTTTACATTGTTTTCGTAGGTAGGCGGCAGTGGGGTTTGACGTACAGTAGTGCCGAACTGTCGTTTTTTCAACTCTACCGCAAGATCAAATGTACTGTAACACGGTGTACATAATCTGGCCACACCTGCATCACAACCCAAACTCTGGAGCTGCCCTACCGCCGCTTTATTCATATCTGTGAGGCACCCTTCTTAAGAATTAGGAATTCAGATTGATTACATAAAACAGCTTAGAAAAATGCTTACAAAAATAATATTTTATGAGAATGTGTATATACTGCACATTGTACTCAAGATAATGTCTTGTCTTTCTTTAATGATAAAAACTAAACGACCTATTTTAAGCATAAGAACAATATTATCAAATTACAGAGGGTGGGTCTTATTCTGTAGGTTTCTGCAGATTATATGCTGCAAGGTGGCAAGAATGGTAATACCCATGCAAAACATTAAGACAAGAAATAAAATTCCCTAATTTTGTAAACTTTAAAGACATTTTTCCCAGCAAGCAAAAAGCTTAAACTTGATAATATGAGTTTGTTAAACAGTTTCAAATACGTTATTTTCTCATGATCTAATTGGGTGAATCTGTAAGAATAATTGGACTGGGCTTCTGCTATTACCATAAAATGATTAAATAACATAAATGTACACATATGTATTTCCTATGTGGTGCTGCTTTTAGATTTCTAAAATATTTCAACAAACTGAAAACAATAATCTGTCCTTTATCTGCCTGTCTGTGTGGATGTTGCATCATTTTAAGTACTGCATGTTTATTGCGACTGCTTCAAGTGTCTCTGTCTGCTGTTTATCAGTTATACAGTTATCAAGGTCTTGACGGGGTCTTGAAAATCCACTTTAATCTTGTGGGATGGAGAAGCCTCAGATGATTTTGATGACTTTTACGGTGTTCCTTGCTGTCATGTCTGATAGACAACAAGACATGCTAATAGACAGCACCTTGCCCTGCCAGGTGAGCAGTGCTGCCCTTATTAGTTCCTGTTGTGGTAAGATAGTGGTGTGCCTTGTTTATCAATTCACACTCTGCAGTGTCAGTGCACGCGCTGGAACAAGCTATCCAGCCCTGTTGCTGAGGCCGATACCCTGGCATCTTTGGAGAAATGACTGGATGAGATCCTCAGATCAATTAGCTACTAATTATCAAATGAGCTAGATGCTATGAATTAATTCCTCTTGTTCGTAACATTAATTGTCCTGTGTGCTTATATTGCTATACGATGTTGAAACGATGTGGATTTGGGAGCTCCTTGGCATAAAAATCATTAAAATAATTTAAGAGAATTGTCCTTTGTTTGGAATGAGTGAATGTTTTCCTGCACATATGTGTGTGTGGTTTTCGTGAGCAGGAGCCACTTCTCCCCTGTTTTGAATGGATGTATTAATTCATTACATTCAAATAAAAACTTGATTCTGAACAAAAAAGATCAATTTGCCCACCGTAACCTTAAGACAATTAAACAAAGCCCTGCTGAGACTCTTCGATTTTCTTTAGCATCAAAGCAAAGAAAAAAATCATGACCACTCAAGAGCTAACCGTTCACACAAAAGGCTGCCATACTGTTCCTTTATTGCAACAACTAACTATTGAGAGTACAAGACCAGGGGAAAGAGAACTAAATCACACCTTAATGACCTCCATTTTTCTCAGTCAAGATGTACACCAGTCTGTGGATGAATTGAAGCCAAAGGGCATTACAGCTCTTTTTCAGAATTTATTGTCTAACGCACTGACTGAAGCAAGGAAAATTTCTCAGCTTTAAAAAAAAAAAATCCACCTTAACTGTCTAATTGTTTCAGGTCCTCTGAAGAGAGGAATCTTTATGAGCTAAGACCCTGTCCCACAGAGCCTTTCACTGAAAGTGTCACATGGACCCTGAGAAGCTAATTTCCTGGCTGTAAAAATGATGGAGTCGCAAAAACGAAGTGACATTGAGAGATTAATTTGCACAGTCTTCACAGGCTAGCCCAGGGTGTCAGGCTCTGTTCAGTACGCGCACGTCACTGGATCTGCTGGAGACAGCCAACCAGCACCCCCTGCCACCCCTCCTCACCTCAAAAATGCGGCATACGGCTGTCATCTCCAAAACGAGATGTCGTGTCAGTCTGGGAAAATTACACAATAACGAGGCACACTTGAGATTAGGCTAATGAGAAAATCAAAACACAATTTAATTCTTGTCAGTGGTGAATTGTCTTTAAATTACCTCTTGCTGCATGCTGATTAAGAGAAATCTGCCACTCATGCTGCTTTCTCCTATAAATAGCCTGGAGGTCTCTTGGACGATGGCGTGCTTTGTTCGCAGAGAGTAAGACTCCACTCAGTTCTTGCAGTGTAAATGTTTGTCTGAAATTGTCTCCTAAGGGGTCAGCACATTGGCATGACTTAATACAGGATAAATATGGAAATGGACAAACCATATACATTACATTCATTAATGCACACTGTACTATTTTTGTATCCATCCATTATATGAAAGGTGGTGATTGCTGGTGAGGTTTGCGGCATTCCAAAGCCTATCCCAGGATCCCAGGGCACAAAGTGGAACTATGCCTCGGCTGAGACGCCAGGCCATTGCAGGACACAGGAACGCTGACAATCTAGAAGCATTGATTAATCAATAAAGCATGTCACTGGACATGGGAAGGAAACTGGAGCATCCAGCAACAGCCCATGCAAACATGGGGAGAACAGGCTAACTACACAGAGAGAGGGTCCCCGACTGCAATCAAAACCAGGACCCAGCACCTGCGATGCAGCAGCACTAACTGCCACCCACTTTTGTTTTGGTCAAATAAATATATACTGTATATAGAAGCTATGTGTTGCAAAGCTGTTAAGAATCTATGTATATTTAAATGAATGTAAATGTGGACTTTATGTCTTTTGTTTGACACAAATGAAATTAAAGCTGGTACACGTTAATGAGATCAAGACAATGGCTAGCTGATGCAGGAAATAATTAAAATAGATGTAAACTGTAAGTCTCTGCTTGATCTACAATTGCTGCCTGTGGACAGTCACAACATTGCACACATTTAATTTGCTGTACAAATGAAGAAATGCATAAAAACCAATAATACTGAATGACATTTTCTGTCAGGGGACTCCCTTGGCTTTTACACACAACCTAGTTTTCAAGTTTAAAGCTGAAAAGGATTAGGAGTTAATGTGTTTCTGACTTGATGAGCCAACTGAGAAATTTCAGTGCTACTAGTTCAGCCACGAAAGCATGAGTATTATTCTAAAACTACAGCCGACTTTAAATTCCACTTAGTTAAACACACTGATTGATTATCACATGATGAGAATTGCATAATGAAATGAAATGTTAAATTTGCTAAAATCCTGGAGCTATTTAATACAGTACAGTATGTGCCCAGACGTTCAAAATGTAATAAAATGGCATACAGAATCGTAAAACTGTCTTGCGAAAGACAGTTCATATTTCTTAATGATGTTTGAAAATAAAACCAATAAAATGCAAGAAATATCAAAACAAATTATACATTCAAAAGGGTGAGAACACACGCAAAAGAACAGGTTTATAGGATAATTGAATGGAAAATGACAAAAGGCATCTGACCAAGCTATTCCAGATTGGCACTATTGACGATGGTGTTATCATAAAAAACACTTCCTACAGATGAACACGATTAAGAGCTAACTAAGAATATACCAGTCTGCAACCCCTGCATCCATCCATTCCAACTGCTTTATCAAATAAAGGGTCACGGGGAAGCAGGAAAGGGTTCAAGGAGGAACGGACCAGTCCATCACAGACCCAGACACACTCATACCAGGGCCACTTCTCCCAGAAGCCAGTTAATCTACCAGCATGTCTGTGGTCTGTGGGAGGAAACCTACAGGATCACTGAGAGAACATACACACACTGCGCAGACAGCACCCTGGGCCTGGAATTGAACCCAGAGGCTCTGCACTGCAAAGCAGCAGTCGCTTTTCACCACAATTATTCCAGTATCATTTAGAAATCTTGTCTCGATATCCGATTCCCCTCGTACTTCTGTGATCTGATAGTCATAATGAGGAGGGTATGAAAAACAAGCTAAGCCTTTTGTTTTCATGGCCCTGATAACTCTGTTTACACGATTGCCAGATGAATGGTTACATGCTAGCCAACCTGCACACTGAATATTTTTACTGCAAAAAAAAAAACCCACTGGCAATCACTGCATTACCAGAACAGGATGTTGTACATGTGTTCTCCTATAAATCTTATTTTACAGCTTTTGGCACTGCTGCTTGCTTCTCTGTCACTGCTTAAATGTCACCTTCAGCCTTTGTCCCTCACCATCCAATTATCCACATGAAAATATAGAGCAGCACCACTGCAGTACTGTGGGCACAGACGCCTGAGAAAGAATCTGACACATATTTACTGTACAAGTTACTATACCTTGAACCTCGGCAGTGTTCAACAAATTGACCAAAAGAAGGATTCATTATTTCAGTGAGTCAAACTCAAAGTCTTGTACAAACTCATTCCCTGTGCTGTAACAACATCATCAGCCTGTCTCGATTGTTTCTTTCTCCTGTTCTCTCAGTGCTCTCAGAGACTGTTTCTAAGAGGAAATATGCAGCACTTTCCATCCGAATGAAGTTATATTGTGAGTGACTGCATTGCACAGCTAGAAAATACTCATAAACTGTGTGTGATTTCATGCATGTAAAACATTTCCAAAAGTG